AGCCAATCGACTAAACCAAATTATCACCTTAGACAATCTTTAGTTTACACTTCTCACACAACGACAAGCAGGGGAGTTTTTCCTGAGCTCGAACTCTTCTCTCGCCTTTCTAACAGGAGGGAGCCCCGGGCTCGAGGATATTACGAGCTCAGGGCTCTTTCCCGGGACAGCATGCCAAATATGCTTTATTGATTATCAGCTAAATGTGAACTCTTGAAACTGTTTTAGCAAAGTCTCTGTGTTAGTGTGCTGTATACATAGTCCAACTAATCAGTCTTTGAGCAGCTTCAGCTGTGTGAGTTAGCGATGAGCCAGGATTAGGAACCGCTGTGTGTGTGCAGTGCATGACTGGATCTTGTAGTCATATTTTATGGCGGATTTGCAGTTCTATGCGATACTGTGTGTTTAATCGTGACACATACTGTACATTGACTTGTCCAGAATTCCCTGCATGTCACGTTGGTGTTTTAACATTAGAAATAAAAAAATACAGTTGTTAAATGAAAAAGTTTAACATTTATTTTACAGTTTGTACCGTATTTTAAACAGTAAATTACTGTCAACCACAGCTGCCGTGTTATTTTTAACTGTACAGTTTACAGATTTGTTTACAGTACATTGGCAGATTATTTTGCTCATTTTAAGGAAAAACTCACTTAATTTTGACTTATAATTTCTTAAAATCAGCAATATTTATTACTTTTCAAGCAGCTCTCGGAAAGATAAGATAAGAGCTTGTACCCACAAGCTTACAAGTGTGAAAGGCTCAACTATCAAAATGATTTCTGTGGTAACTTTAAGTGGCATGTAAGCTCTTATCACCTCTCAGAGACGCGAGTTTGTGGGTTTCCAAGAACTGCTTAAAAGTTTTGTGACATGAAATATGTTTGATCTCCCACCATCTCTAACACATTGCCCTTTATCGAATGCTGTTATCTTCACTGTGGAGAACAGCAGGCGATGGTAAGCAGGAAGATGAGACCCTTTTCTGGCACACAAAATGAGAGATTTCATGATCTTTGAAGATGATGTCCTCTGTGTGGTTCCTGGATGGTTTAGACTAAGATGGAAAGAGAGTTCCTTTCCCCTTAAGGGCTCTATTTTAATGATCTAAGCACAAAGTCTAAAGCGCATGTTGAAAAAGCATTAAGGTCATGTCTAATTCCACTTTTGCTATTTTAAAAATGCATTAATATGCTCTGCGCCCTATGGTCTAAACAGGGTTGTGCTTTTTTTTTTATGAGTTTTGGGTGTATTTTGAGCATAACGTGCATTAAACCAATCAGAGTCTCATCTCACATTCCCTTTAAGAGTCAGTTGTCTTGTTACCGTGAGCCAGACAGAGAAATTCACAATGTTCTAATTCAATATTCTAGCATGTATGTATGTTTTTGTGAGTGTGTGTTCCTTTTCTTTTTGACCTAGGTAGAATGCTTTGTCTGTGCTAAATAGAGTTTATTGATGATTTACTGGTGATATATCAATCTTCTTTGTATTAAAACTTTTAGAAATATTGCTTAAGAACTTGTATTCAAACAACATCACAAGTGCTTGGTATGTATGCACAGCTAATGTGGTTTAAAGAACAACTGTATGCATTGTATATAGGTATTTGTATTGCATTTTGAGATTATAAAATCTTTAACATTTCTCTATGGGCACTATTCCACAATCACCAGATATTAACAAGGGGCCATAAATGTGGCTACTGACTTTTTACTTGTCTAGAAAATGCTTCTTGAGCTCAGAATAAATAAATATTTAGACTAGGAACAAGACAAAACAAGAAAAGCATTTTTTTTTTTGCGGTTTCTGATATTATCCCACAAATAAAAGTGATTGTACAACTTTTGTATATCGTATACTGTATTAATATGCTTTAATTAATAATTTAATAAAGTTGAATTAACCCATAATACCTACAATAAATGAGTAGAAATTTGCACAGACTTAAAAGAAGAGAAAAATAAAACAAATGCAGGAAACAACTATTTTTATTTTTTTTTTACTTTTAAGCTCGAGCAAGGTTGTATCTGTAAATCTGTCCTCAAATAGGGTGGCACTGCAGGAAATCATCGTCATCAGCAACTGGCTTTCTGAGGAAATGATCATAACAATGAGTGATTCAAGCAAAGATTAAAAACATTGAAAGTCTTAATATTTACTGTATATGATGCACAACATATCAGTGATTTAAAAGCACAGCTACTTATGCACTCTCTGTTTAAGTTGCTTCCTTCAGCTGAGAAAATAATCAAAATCTGTTAACGATTTATTGTTGTGTTTGAGTAAATGCGTTTTTTTATTTCTTAAACTACTGGTGATATTTCTTCTAAATATCAAGTTTAAACTTTGCAATTTAGAGCTTTTTGTACATAAAACAACAAAGTAATGTGTTACACTGTTTTAAAGTAAGGTTTTGCAATAACACAGCAAATACTAGTGTTTTTGAATCTTTATACACTGTCAAAAATACTCTAAAAAGAAATAGAGGAAGATCGAACCTATTTCATGGTCACATAAATTTTAAGCAGCTCTCGGAAACCCACAAACTTGCTGTTTAATATAATGCTGTATAATTCTTTGTAAAGTATGTTTAGCCTACAGCACAGTAGTGTCACAGTACAGTAGAAAACTAGTACAGTTGTTTACACTAATATAGTTGTTGTGTTACCATAGAAACCAGTTACCACATCTGATTATTTCAAGTACTTTACTGTTCGAAAACATAATTACAGTATAGTATTCTTCATGTGGGTAATGCCGTATAATTCTTCAGTATGCTTAGCCTATATGACAGTACAGTGCGTATAGTACAGTAGAAAACTAGTACAGTTGTTTATAGCCTACTATAGTGGCTGTGTGTTACTATAGCAACTACAGAGTTACTGCAATAGATTTATTCAAGTATGTTATGGTTCAAAAACATAATATTTACGTTAATTACTAGTATCTTTCACGTGGGTTATAATAAATGCTGTATAATTCTTTGTGAAGACTGTTTAGCCTACAGTATGGCTGTTTATAATAGCCAACTATAGTTGTTGTGTGTTACCATAGCAACTAGAGTTGCGACAACAGATTAATTCAAATCAAAAACATAATATTTACTATATAACTACTGTAGTATCTTTCATGTATTCAATAATAAACGTGGTTGTAAATTATATTAGCCTACTATTGTTGTCGTGTTACTATAGCAACTTCACAGTTATCACAACAAATTAAATTAAGCTACTTTACGGTTTAAAAACATAATATTTACCACAGAAATATTTTTCATGTAATGATAACTCGAGTATTCTTATACAGTAGTGTTTTACACAATACAGTAGAAAACTAGTAAAGTTGTTTATATTGGCCTACTATAATTGTATTTTAACATAGCAACTAGTTACCACAAAAAAATTTAATTAAGTTCTTGGTTCAATAACATAGTATTTACTATGTAATTACTATAAATGTAGGCAATACTTAACGCTTTATAATTCTTCGTTGAGTATGTTTAGCATACAGTAATGTCTTATACGGAAAGGTAGAAAACTAGTACAGTTGTTTATATTAGCCTACTATAGTTGTTGTGTTACCATGGTAATTACAGAGTTACCGCAACAGATTTATTCAAGTATGTTACGGTTAAAATTATATTTATAATTACTGTAGTATTTTTCTTGTGGGTAATAATAAATGCTGTATAATTCTTTTGAAGTACGTTAAGCCTACAGTACAGTTGTTTATATTAGCTAACTATAGTGGTTGTGTGTTACCATAGCAACTAGAGTTACCACAACAGATTAATTCAAATCAAAAACATAATATTTACTATATAATTACTGTAGTATCTTTTATGTAGGTAATAATAAATGTGGTATAATTCTTCATAAAGTATGCCTACAGTACAGTTGTTTATATTAGCATACTATTGTTGTCGTGTTACTATAGCAACTTCATAGTTACCACAACAAATTAAAGTAGGCTACTTTACGGTTTAAAATTATATTCACTGTGACTGTATAATTACAGAAGTATTCTTCATGTACGTAATAATAAATCCTGTATAATTCTTCAGTATGCTTAACCTACAGTACAGTAGTGTTGTATACAATACAGAAGAAAACTAGTACAGTGGTTTATATTAGCCTACTATAGTTGTTGTGTTACCATAGTAACTACAGAGTTACCGCAACAGATTTATTCAAGTACGTTACGGTTAAAAACATATTTATAATTACTGTTGTATTTTTCATGTGGGTATAATAATTGCCGTATAATTCTTTGTGAAGTATGTTAAGCCTAGTTGTTTATATTAGCCTACTATAATAACTGTAGTATCTTTCACGTAGGTAATGCTGTATATAGCATATAGCATACAGTACAGAAGAAAACTAGTAGTTGTTTACCCTACTATTGTTGTTGTGTGTTACTAGTAAGTATAGTTGCAACAACAGACTTATTCAACTACTGTACAGTTAAAAAACATAAGATTTACTATATAATTACAGTAGTAGCTAATATTCTTCGTGTAGGTAAGGATACATGTCCTATAATTCTTCAGTACAGTACAGTCTTGTATACAGTACAGTAGAAAGCTAGTACAGTTGTTTATATTAGCCTACCATAGTTATTGTGTTATGATATTAACTACAGAGTTACTACAACATATTTATTGAAGTACTTTACGGTTCAAAAACATTATATTTATAACTACTGCGTATCTTTCATGTAGTTAATAATAAATGCTGTATATTTCATGACGTATGTTTACCCAGTACAGTTGTTTACATTAGCCAAATATAGTAGTTGTGTTACCATAGCAACTACCCCAACAGGTTAATTCAAATAAAAAACATAATATTTATTATATAATTACTGTAGTATCTTTAATCTCGGTAATAATAAATGTAAAATTCTTCGTGAAGTATTTTTAGTATGCAGTATGTACAGTACAGTAGGCTATTGAAAATACGGAAGTCTGTTTTTGAGTCTGCGCTTCTACGGTACTTACGGGGGAAAGTTTCAGGAAGTAGAGAAACTCAACGCTCTTCTGCTTTCAAACACAATCACAAACCTCTTTACAGTCTGATTTACCGAACAAATCCGTTAAATGTGTAAAAGTCGCGGGAATAATCAGCTGTGAGACGGAGAAAAGTGTATTTTGGAGGTCAGATCCAGTCTTACAGCAGCAGGTAAAATCACTTCACATTCACGACACGATGAGTTCCAGTAAACACGAAGAGTGTTATCGCACATAAACAATCTTAAACATATGTAACGTTACTTTACTTACTTAGGTAGAGTTATTTTGTAATTCAGCAGCTGTATGAAGCTTTAAGATAATCAGATTGTGTGTACAAATATCAAACACGAGCCGGTTATTAAAAACGAAAGTGATTCATTCATCAAAGTTAAATAATATTTAATAAAATCGCAGCTTTTAAGTTGTCCAAATGAGTATGTAATCTTAATTGTATAATTTGTATATCTAAGTACACTTAAAATAGACCCAAATACATAATATAGCTAATACAATAACATTCTAATTAATTACAGTTACTAAACTATAACAATATAACACAGTTACTAAATAATAATAATTATTAATCTATAAACTCTTATTGTGTGACTCTTATTTTGTCATTTATATCCACATACACCCAGAATAGAAACCAAATGCATAATATATTCAATACAATAACATTTTACTTAATTACATAGGTACTAATAACAATGAATCTATTAACTAAAGAAAACAATCATTATAATTTTTAATAATAACTATTGTATTCAACATTTAACAGCTGTATGAAACTTTAAACTAATAGATTTTTGTTCAAAGAAAAAGTGAATGAATACACTACATTTTTAATCAATTACGTAGTTACTAAATACTAATAATTACAACATAATATTTTGTAAACAAGAATGATCCTATTTTAATAAGTATTGTAATTCAGCAGCTGTATGTAAATTTGTCCCGATTTTGTGTACAAAAAATGCACAGGTCATAAAAAAGCCATTCATTTATCAAAGCTGCATAATACACATATTTATCACTGTTTTAAAAGTGTTTGTTATTTTAAATCAGTCTTTAGTCATCTGAACGACGATGCGGGCTCTTATTTTGTCATTTGTACATCTAAATACTCTTTAAATACACTCATAATAGAACCAGATACATAATAATAAACATTCTATAAATGCTGGGTTGTCTTAACATGTTTGGTCATTTATAGACAGAAGTGGTAATGGATTGATTTTATCAATTCAATTTAAATGAGACCTTTCCATTTTTGTCTATATTTAACCCAGCATTGGGTTGAAACTCATTCAGTGCACCAATACAACAGCGTTCTAATTAATCATGTAGTTACTAAATGCATTTTAATTTAACAAACTAAAGAAAACAATTATAGGTTAAATAATTATATTATATATAATTTATAATTATAGTTTTAATAATAATACTAATTATAAAATCCAGAAAATAAAAGTAAATAATAATAATTATACTAAAAGTAAAAATATTAATAGCAATAATACTTTTATTGTTCTAATAAAACATTGTAGTTCGTTATTTTTCAGACAAGAGCTTCAAGATATATAATTTGTCCTTATACCTTGGGTCAAATATAGACAAATCTAACTGTTGGGTTAAAATATTTAATTTAATTTAATTTAAGAGATTAACCCATTGGTTGGGTTTGTCCATATTTGACCCAGTATCAGGTTAAAACAACCCATTTGTTTTTTGGGGGACCAACGCAATAACATTATAATTATTATAATATAGATAAGTATTGATTATTAACATTATAATGGTTACCGAATATATTTTAATTAAAATAAACTAAAGAAAACAATAATTACAATATTTAAATAATACAATAATTTAAGTTTTGATTATTAACATTATAATGGTTACTGAATATATTTTAATTAAAATAAACTAAAGAAAACAATAATTGCAATATTTAAATAATACAATAATTTAAGTTTTGATTATTAACATTATAATGGTTACTGAATATATTTTAATTAAAATAAACTAAAGAAAACAATAATTGCAATATTTAAATAATACAATAATTCTAAAACAATAATAAAAAATAATATAATACAATAATATTCATTGTACTAATAGTAATAATAATAATAATTTTATTGACCTAATCAAACATTATTTTTTAGACGAGAGCTTCCAGAGATATAATGTCTTCATACATTTTAAAAACGTTGGGTCAAATATGGACAAATTCAACTGTTGGGTTAATTTTTTTTAATTTTTCATTTAGTTGAAAAAAATAACCTAGTGGTTGGGTTTGTCCATTTTGACCCAGCATTGGGTTAAAACAATACATTTGTTTTTTGGTGGGACCAATACAATAACACTCTAATTAATTAATAACATTCTAATTAATTACGCATAGCTACTAAATACATTTTAATTAAAAAAAACTAGACACAACAATAATTGCAATATTTTTAAAATAATGATTCTAAAATCATAAAAAAATATTAATATTAATAAAAAATATATTAATTGTACTAATTGTAATAGGAATAATATTTTTTTGTCCTAATTAAACATTCATTTTTATACAAGAGCTTACAGAGATATCATTTGTCTTCATACATTCTAAAAATCATTGTGTAAAATATGCACAAAACCAACTATTGGGTTAAAAAATGTTTCATAAATTTACCCAGTGGTTGAGTCGATCCATATTTGACCCAGCATTGAGTTAAAAACAACTATTTTTTTTTTGTTTTTGTTTTTTAGAGTTAACCAAAACAATAACATTCTAAATAATTTATAACATTGTAATTAATTGCGTATAGTTACTTAATACATTTTAATTAAAAGAAAACTAAAGAAAAATATAATTACACTAGTTAAATAATAATAATTCTAAAATAAAAAAATATTACATCTAAAAATATAATAAAATAATAATGCTTGCACTAATAGTAATAATATTTTTATTGTCCTAATAAAACATAATTGATTAGATGAGAGCTTCTAGGGATATAATTTGTCCTTATACACTAACAAAAAAAGTTGGGTCAAATATGTACAAATTCAACTGTTGGGTTAAAAAAATAATTTAATTGAAAAAAAAAAATCTAATGATTGGTTTCATCCATATTTAACCAAGTGTTGGGTAAATACAATTCAGAGCATGAGCTTAATAAATATATGCTAGATCTGTGTGCTTTTAATATAAGATATGCAGACAGATGTTGTTTTCTCCTGCAGGGTGTGTGTGTGTGTGTGAGGGGCCATCATGAGCCGTCCGCCCTCCATGCAGCCACAGACGTGCGGCCCCTGGGAACTTAAGGAGCGACTGGGAACCGGAGGATTTGGCAACGTCACTCTCTGGCAAAATAAGGTCAAATATTGCTCTGCTCAAGAACATCACATTCATACTTTGGGGGAAATAAGTGTTGAGCATGTCACTATTTTTCTCAGAAAACATATTTCTAAAGCTGCTGTTGACTTGAATTTTTTACCGGATGCTGTTAACAACCAAAGAAATCCATATATGCAAAGAAAACAAATCTAATTAGTGTACACGTGAAGTTCTGTGTAATAAATTGAAATGACACAGGTGAAAAGTATTGAACACATGAAGAAAGGAAGGTGTAGTTCAGCAGTAAAAGCCCAGACTGCAGCTGAAATCTCTCAGTAAGTCTTCAGCAACCCTCTGCCCTTCCTCAGTGTAAATGAAGATCAGCTGCTTCAGTCCAACATTAGCAGGAGGATGAAGATGAAACCAGGGTGCACATTTCAGCAAGTCAATGATCCAAAACACAGCCAAGGAGACTCTTAGATGCTTTCAGAGAAAGAAACTCAAGCTGTAGAATGGCCCAGCCAATCACCTGATCCGAATCCAATAGAGAATACAAAATAAAGCTCAGATCAGATAGAAGAGATCTACAGAACCATCAAGATTTAGACACTGTTGAAGTCTGTGAGAACTTCATATGAGAGAGGTGTTTTAAGCTGCAGCACCAAACAAGCCTTTTATATATTATATAGTATTAAACACATTTTAGTAGTTCAGCACTTTCTCCTTCTGTCATTTCATTATTTTTTGTGTTGTTTTATGTTTATGTTTGTATTGTTCCAAAATCTGCTTCAATTCCATGTCAGCAGCTCCTTTAAAAATGTTATTCCCAGAAAAAAAACATTTTAATTTTAATTAATTTTAATTAATTTAGTGTTTAATACTTATTTTCCCCGCAGTAAATAATTGATTTACTCTGATTTACTCATGCTAGAATAACATTCTTAGGGCTGCTGGAATAATTTTTGTGTGTTACAACAATATCCTTGTCTATTTTAAGTCAAGTTGTCTTTTTTTCTATAGCACTTTTACAATGTTAATTGTGTTAGAGCATCTTTAGAAAAACAATCAGTAGAAAAAAGCCATAGAGAAAGAATAAAAAGCCAAATAGAGAGAAACAAAACAAGAGTAAGAATAAAAAGCCAAAAAAGGAGAATGAAAAATCATCAATAAAAGAAAAAGCCATAGAAATAAGGCATTAAAAGCTAAATAAAAAAGAGAGCCTTAAACAAGAATAAAAAGCCATTAAAATAATATTAATAATAATAATATATTTTATTAATAACATGCTTTTTTAAAATTCAAAGCGCTTACAAGTAGGTAAAAACAACAAAGCACAGTAAAACAATAAAAAATAAACACAGTAAGAATAAAAGATATTACAACTTAAAAACAGTCCTAAAAAGATGAGTATTAAGTAGCTTTTTAAAACCGTCCAATGAACCAGCATTCCTAATGTTAGTGGGAAGAGCATTTCACAGTTTGGAGGCACGGAAAGAGAACGCCCTACCTCCCATGGTGCTGTGTGTGCTGCGAGGCTGAAACAACATAGGATCAGAGGCAGAGCGTAGACAGCGAGAGGTGGAGGAAATGGATATCAGGTCACAAATGTAACCTGGAGCAGAAGCATGAACCGCTTTATATGTTAAAATCAACTTGACGGGCAGCCAGTAAAGCTATTGGAGTACAGGAGTGAAGTGAGACTGAGAGGATGTACGTGTCAACACACGTGCAGCAGAATTTTGTATGTATCCTAAAATCTTGAGTGAATTAGCTGGTAACCCTCCGAACTGAGAAAAAGCTATAACGAATATACAAAAAGACATGAAAAATAAGACAAAATAAAAATAAATAAATAAGACAGAGAATAAGCATATAATAAAAAGTAACAAAATAATAAAACATTTACATTTAGCAGACTCTTGTCCAAATAGACTTACAAAACATAATCAATTAAAAATTATAAAATTAAATCATACAAATAAATAAAAAAACAAAAATAAAACAGCTTTTAAAGACAATTAAAAAGTCAAAGAAAAATAATAAAAAGCTATTAAAAGAATTGTAAAAAAACAGTATATATATATATATATATATATATATATATATATATATATATATATATATATATATATATAATATTATATAATATATAAAAATATATATGTATATATATATATATATATATATATATATAAAATATTTATATGTATATATATATATATATATATATATATATATATATATATATATATATATATATATATATAAATAATGTAATAAAAATATAATAAAATATTTAATAAATAAATAAAATAAAACCATAAAAAATTTTTTTAAAAAGCTATAAAACCCTTATCAAAAGCATAAAAAGCCATACAAAATAAACAATGAAAGGCTTTAAATAAGTTTTTTTTCTTTCTGTGTTTTTGGGCTGAATTATGGCTCTGACTGTTGTGTAAATGAGACTGAAGTGTTGTATTAATGAATCAGGTGGATTGTAAATGACTGTAAAGCTCATGTGTCAGTCAGTGTGTTTTATTACAATCGAGCAGCAGATGCGTTTTTTCACTGATTTATTGTTTCCTGTTCTGATATGTTGTGAAATATAGAGTTGTCAGGCAGCCGGTCTGTAATTATATTATTTATAATGCATGATTCATCTGAGTGCATCTAGTCTCAGGTTCAGATATACACCTGAATATAAAAGAACAGAATATAAAAATAAGAAAGAATATTTTTACAAAGTCAAACATGTTTTATAAATCAATGCTGTCTGTTTAAATATTCAACATTCTCCTGTTCCGTCTAAAATCTTTCTTTTCGGCTTAGTCCCTTTATTAATCTGGGATTGCCACAGATTATCCAGCCAACTTATCCAGCATATGTTTAACGCAGCAGATACTATTCCAGCTGCAACCCATCACTGGGAAACACCCATACACTCTTATTCACACACATACACTACGGACAATTTAGTTTAACTAGTTCCCCTATAGCGCATGTGTTTAGACTTGTGGGGGAAACCAGAGCACCCAGAGGAAACCCACACCTGCACGGGGAGAACATGCAAACTCCACACAGAAATGCCAACTGGCCAGCGATATTCTTGCTACGAGGCGATTGTGCTACCCACTGCACTACCATGATCCTGATAATTTTCTATGGCCAAAAATTCAGTGCATCCTTACTTATCAGTTATAAGCTTATCAGTTATTCTTAAAAATCTGTCCCCATGTATGCGGGAAATACTAATTCTGAATTTGCGTAATCTTGCACTCATGTTTATCAGTGATACTAAAATAACCACATTTGTAGTCTGGCACAGTGATTAACCAGGTAAATTATAAATAGTCTTCCAGTTAACAGCCCACCCGTCCCGCTGCAGTATGTCAGAATAAAAGTGTGTGAAAGTCTTAAAATAGAAACACTTCAGATTCCCATTACTGAAGCTTCACAGAGACTCTAAACACAATGAGAGGTTCACAATGAATAAAAGAGGAAATGCATCCACCTGCTGCGTCTCACTTCCTGATACGGATGACCTCATGATCGGTCACACATTCATGCAGGTTGAGAGGAAGCGGATTAAACATTGACAGACAGCTGTAATTACTGCTGTTTGTTCAGTCATAACTGATACTTAATGCTTGATGAAGCACATTAAAGGATGGACATCAGATCCACGTCATCACACCGGAATGTCAGGTTTTACTGTCTCCAGGTGATATTTTTACACACTTTCCTAATGCATTTTAAAGTATGGGATGTACGTCCGGTTTTGGGAACTTCACTGTTAAAATATTGTCCCAACATAAATCAATTAAGTTAACGCAACTAATTAAAGTGGGTTGAACATAAAACAATTAAGTTGTCCCAAACGACACTAAATAATTTTGTTGTTTTAATTTGAACAAGCAGCAAAAATGTTAGATTTTTTAAATAGAGAGATTTATATGTTATAGAAAAATATTAAATACAAATGTAAAAAAGAGCAAAAGAGAAGCAAAAAAAAAAAGAAAAATGTAGTTTGAATTTTGTAGGTTGTAATTTTTTGCAAAATTTTGCTTGAATTAATTATAATCTTTCAATTTCTAAATATGTTTAGTGACTAAAATATTATTTTCATAAACATATCTTTATTAAATCTGTTTTGTTTAAATGGACCAAAATACATTGCCTATATTCACTGAGAAATGGAGGAAAAATTTTATTTGCAAAATGGGGTGTGCTCAATTATGCTGAGGGAGACAGATAGATAGATAGATAGATAGATAGATAGATAGATAGATAGATAGATAGATAGATAGATAGATAGATAGATAGATAGACAGATAGACAGATAGACAGATAGATAGATAGATAGACAGATAGACAGATAGACGGATAGACGGATAGATGGATGGATGGATGGATGGATGGATGGATGGATAGATAGATAGATAGATAGATAGATAGATAGATAGATAGATAGATAGATAGATAGATAGATAGATAGATAGATATGAAGTCATAATTATTAGCCCCCCTTTGAATTTTGTTTTCTTTTTAAAATATTTTCCAAATGATGTTTAACAGATCAAGGAAATTTTCACAGTATGTCTGATAATATTTTTTCTTCTGGAGAATGTCTTATTTTATTATTCCGGCAAGAATAAAAGCAGTTATTATTTTTTTTAAACACCATTTTAAGGTCAATATTATTAGCCCCTTTAAGCTATATTTTTTCCGACAGTCTACAGAACAAACCATCATTATACAATAACTTGCCTAATAACCCTAACCTGCCTAGTTAACCTAATTAACCTAGTTAAGCCTTTAAAAGTCACTTTAAGCTGTATAGAAGTGTCTTGAGGAATATCTAGTCTAATATTATTTACTGTCATCATGGCAAAGATAAACTAGATTAGTCATTAGAAATGAGTTATTAAAACTATTATGTTTAGAAAAGTGTTGAGAAAATCTGCTCTCTATTAAACAGAAATTGGGGAAAAAAACAGTTGGGCTAATAATTAAGGGGGGCTAATAATTCTGACTTCAAGACAGACAGACAAAACTAAGAAAACGCTGTGAAAATTTCCACACAATTCATTCAATCTTTTATGCTGCGCAAACACAATTCGATTAAGTTAACTTAATTGTTTTTACAATTTTAAGTAGAAAAAACATAAAACCATTTAGCAAGAATTTAGATTTTTCAGCTCATTTTAAAGTATTTTGAACAAGCAGCAAGAAACATTTGAGTGTACACTTACAATTGTGACAAAGTTGTGATAACAAATGTCTTTATATTACTTTAACCTATTTCATAAGTTAATCAGGTCACAACTAAATTTTTAAGTTATAACTTTTTATTATAACTTAATATTTATTTTTGCTATTTCTGCGCAGAAAATATTTGTTTATGCTATTCAGATATTTTGGAGAATAATCCTGGCTTTAAACTAAATGTTTAGAAATAAAATTAGAAATGTAATTTAAGTACTACTTTGATAATTTTAATAATAATTAATTACTTTTTAAAGCAATGTACCCAAGGCTAATTAAACCCAGTTCTTATTTGACAAATTATTTAAAAATATTTAAAAATAAAGTGAGAAAAGTATTTCAAATACAACTTTAAACTTTATATAAGTAATTAAATAATTAATTAGTTTTGAGGCAATGTACCCAATACATTTGTGCTCAGTGATATATTTTATATATATATATATATATATATATATATATATATATATATATATATATATATATATATATATATATATATATATATATATTTGTTGTTCAAACTCTGTGATGGTCAGTGATGACCTCATGTTGTGTCATCAGTAATTAAAGTGTTGAAGCGGATGTTAATGACCACTTTCTGAAATATGTGTGTGTGTGTGAGGGAATGCTGTCCAACAGAACTTTGAAATTATCTTGAATAATCAAAAAATAATATTTATAAATGCAAACCAGAATCATTTTCAGCAGAAGTTTCAGACTTTCAGACCTCACTGTGGCACAGATTAAATATATATTTCTATATACGACTCTTGAATTTCGTCATGATGTCATTGAGATATTTGATTAGTCACAGGATTGCTCTATAGCTGCTCTTTTACTCATATTTCCGGGTGCAGTGGCCGTTGTCATGAGAAGTGAACAGAACAGAAGGAAGTGCTTTAGGAAACGGCAAATGAAGAGCCGCCTTTTGGATATCCTCTGTAAATTTCGCTACACAAAGAAAAAAAAAAAACTTTAAACCAAATTTTTGAAGATTTCTTACAGCAAAAAAATGTTTCTCAAAGTATAATTTAATTTTGGTCAAACTTAAAATTTTTATGTAAATCAAAAATATTTCTTGGTCCGTCTTTTTTTGTTAAATTTTTTTTTTTAAAAGAACCTGTTGCCAGATAATCCTCATGTTTTACCTAAATATTAAAATTAATTTAAATTCTTATGTTTTGTGTTTATAATTATTTATGTTTTGTATTTTAGTACGCAACATCGTTATCTCTATTTCATTTCTTTCCAACCCTGTGTACCTTTAATGTCTTATATGTTGTCATGTCTTTGTGTGTGTGTGTACAGGAGACCAGCATTCAGATCGCCATCAAACAGTGTCGACAGGAGCTCAGTGTCAAGAACAAGGGCAGATGGAGTTTAGAGATTCAGATCATGAAGAGGTGAGTCCAAAGACTGTAAATATACAAAGACGGTTCAATAGTGATAAAATATGGTACAAAAAGGAGTAATGCAATAGAGTAATCTAGAAAGACAGGCAATGGTCATGGCAGGCAGAAAACACTTCAAAAATACAAATCAGTCCAAGATTAAAACACGTGTAAATACAAAAAACAGGAACATGGGAAAAGGCTAGGTGAGGCATACTAAAGGTATACTTTAAACAAGTGGTCTCCAACTTAATTCCTCCTGGGCCACAGCTCTGCATAGTTTAGCTTCAACCACCTCTTACTCAAGCTTGCTTAATAATTTCTATTAATCTTGAACACCTTGATTAGTTGGATCAGCTGTGTTTGATTAGGGTTGGAGGAAAACCATGCCGAGCTGCGGCCCTCCAGGAACTGAGTTTGAGACCACTGGTTTAAAGTATACATGTGCCTTTAATATGGCGATGCAGTGGTGCAGTAGGTAGTGCTGTCTCTTCACAGCAAGATGGTCGCTGGTTCAAACCTCGGCTCAGTTGGCGTTTCTGTGTGGAGTTTGCATGTTCTCCCTGCACTCGCGTGGGTTTCCTCCGGGTGCTCCGATTTCCCCCACAGTCCAAAGACATGCGGTACAGGTGAATTAGGTAGGCTAAATTGTCTGTAGTGTATGAGTGTGTGTGTGTGGATGTTTCCCAGAGATGGGTTGCGGCTGGAAGGGCATCCGCCGCGTTAGGACATATAGGGGGCCCCTAGAGACATTATCAAGGCTCGCGACTAACACCCGTCTCCAGTTTCGTCCAATAAATCACCCCATCTCCCATTTTCACCCATTCATCCAGTTGCTAAGTCTAGTCTGTTGACTTTATTAGAGGACAATGTGGACCTTTTGTTTTGAATGATGTGAGATGAGGGTGAGAACAGTCTCTCACAAGCAGGATCACCGAATCAGCATACGGATTTCAGTGCCTAATTTTGTTGCCACTGGTGCTATGACAAGGACGTAGGAAGCATAAGGGGTACATCAAAGGCACCCATAGGTACGCGTTGTGGCACACCAAAGACTAATTCTTACAGGGACTTTGGTCATACCATCTCTACAGATTTAAACAACTTTGGTGTCAGCACAGGACAGCGCAGCCGGTGAGTGAGGGACCCCTTCAGTTTCATCAACACGCATGATCACGTTCATCAAATTTGTTTAAACTTAGCGTTCTAAAATTTGGCTGTATTTCACAAGGATTCTGAAACAACAATGCGAAACGGATGCTTTACAAAAGTTGCGATTAAGGGTGAAACACGTCAAACTTAATGGAACATTTGAGGGCGCATGGAATCAACTTAAAGGCAGACGAATGCGCCGTCTTTGACAGCTCGCAACATCATCCGGCACTTTCTGAGTACCTTTACATGGACACCAATACTCTGCTTTTAATATGATTAAGATAATACTCTTATTAAAAGTCATGGATAGCCTGGTGATGCGAGATTAATTGTTTTATACTGAAACTTGTTTTATACTGAAACTTTCCTTCTAAAAGTGGTCTTGGTCTTATCCATATTTCTTTGCATGTTAAACACACATTGGCCACAGCAGGAAAAAAAACTGCAACTGCTTAAAATTTTTTTTTTTTACGGGATAAATATTTCAAATTAATCGCATACGTTAACGCACTAATTTTGACAGCACTAGTTTTAAGTAAAGTTTATTTATAATCTAATTTTAAGAGGATCACGTGCTTATGATTTATCACAGCCGGTCTTGTATTGGCTTTTATATAAGTCCGAAGCTACTATAAATAACCACAGTCCACTTTGTCTTCGTTTGGAAGAAACCCCCCTTCCTCCCCATTCTCCTCCTTTACACACAGCAAGAACACTGCTGGCCCTGGTCCTGCCAGGCTGGTGGGCGTTTCTGCGAGGAGTTTGTATATTCTCCCCGTGTCCGCGTGGGTTTTCCCCGGGTTCTCCGGTTTCTTCCCACCATCCAATGATATACATTATGCATAACAGACTTAGCATATCAAGCACTTGTCTAGCTCCATTTTTCTCACGTGTTCCCTTAGCTACTGCAGCAGGGGTGTTCTGAGATCCACCAAGCTCAAGCTCCCCTCTCGCTCTGTGAACGGGTGGGAGCCCCGGGTGTAAACTCAAGTGTGAACTCTTGAAATGCAATTTAATGAGAGATTAAATTATAGTAATAGGGCAGGTCGCTTCAGATTATGTTGCTGATTTGAAATTAAAAAGCATGTAGCTTTTAAAATTTTAGGACTTCCCTATTCATCTAGATAGGACTTTGGTCTTGGATGAGCTACCTAGGGTTGTAACAATATACCGGTATGACGGTCTACCACGATTTGAACGTGCACGATTATCATACCATGAACAATTGCATATCAACGGTTTTAACCTTTAAAGACCGAGACAGCCGCCCGCGGCTAAAAATAAGTATTGCTCTTAAATGTTTAATAACTTTTGATCCGCTGATCCGATTCATACAATTCAAAGATTAGCATAAAGAAGAGAATCTCAGCTTTCCAGTGCTGTATCACATAACATTCGCGGACTTTCAGAGGCTCCGGAATCAGTGCGGTTACATCATCAAAATTTGACAACGCTGATTTGACAAAGAAACGCTCGTCACTGTGTCTTCGGACAAACCAGACATGATACATTGATGCATAGTCCCTCCTCCATGCCCAGATTGGTTCAAACTCGCTATATCACAACCAATAAGCATAGGTTTCGCTTTTGTTTGTGGAGCAATGAGCTTTTTGAACAACACGGAATGAGAGATAGGCATACATTTATGCGCGGCTAAATAAAACGCAAAAAAAAAAGTTTTGCATGAAATATTTCTCATACTAAGTACTTTTGCATGCACAGCAGCACAGAAACATGACAAAACAGTGACACAGCAAAGACGAACTGCTGCTCTTGCTGTTTTCAAAAGACACAAATGAAGGTGCAGCTGTTTGTCTGCATTGCAGACAACCACATCCAAATCCATCTCCACAGACAACCATATCCATGCTGGCACATAAAACCTAAGGATGTTCCATATTAAATCTAGTTTCGTTATGTAACTATTTATAGTATAGTAAATATTTATATCTATTTTTTTACTGAGGATTTGCACCATGTTTATTTGGACTTTGACACATTATTTATTATTTTCTTATTTTTTTATTTGTTCATTGTACAAGTGGACACATTCTCCCACCTCAGCAGTCAAGATTAAGTTCTGAAAATGTCAACATGCTTACATTTCTTCATCACAACCTAGACTGAAAAAAAACAACGCTTTAAATACATGTTTACAGCCATAAACTTGGTATTGCACTTTTGGTCTCCCATTTATCCTGCTTATAAGGAAGGACAGTTTAAGTTTATTTTTGTCTAATCTTAAAAGACCTTTATTGTTTATTCCTTCTAATTTAATTTATTAAAATGCTAAATTTTTCAGTTTATTTTTATAAAAGACTTCTATAGTTCTATTAAAATGGTTCTTTCAAAAGTTTGTTGAAATAAAACCTTTGTTCAGTCAGAAAACCTGTTCTTATTCTTTTCAGGGTCTTTGCTATGAGAATTACTATTTAATACCGTATACCGCGAAACCGTCAAACCGTGGTATTGTTTTAGACGATTATCATACCGTAAAAAATTCATACCGTTACAACCCTAGAGCTACCCAAAGCGTGGCAAATATGGTCGCTGAGTGAACTTTCCTTGAAAGGGACTTTAAGGGTTTATCCTCTCCAAAAAGCCAATTTCCTGTTTCTGCCTTCAGTAGGTCAAAAAAGTTCACACACGATGCTCTGTTATTCTTTTTGCATCTGAAGAGATTTTGCATCTTTAGAGCCGAACGCTTACAAGTCTCATTCACGTCAGAGAGGGTGAAACAGGTTCATGAAACTGTTCATGGTCCAAAATCTGTACAAACATTGACGCTCAGAGTGATTAAATGATAAAAATAATAAATGCTCTGGCCCTTTAATAGTCATTTTGTTATTGACTACACCCATTTTTCTTGGCTGATATCATGATGTTGGCTTTCACGTCATTGCAGATGTCTATTTTAAGAGAAAACACTCTTTTACATGGTATTTTCCATCTTTTCGCTTGCTTATGTTGTTCCATCTTTTAATGTGCAGTCCATTAAGCGACCACGCAAAGCCTTCCGTTGTTATTCGGCTATTTATAAATGTTTTTATGCACAAAAGCTCGGAGGAAAACAACGAGGGATGAATTTATGACACCACAGTAGTAAAAAGTGACCCAGTATTGTGGTTTGTGCCGTCACAACACCTTCAGGCTCATCTTAATTTAGGAGCAAGTGCATCTCTGGCTGTTTTCTCACTGTTATTGTGTTTGGGGGGGTTTTGTTGCGGTTGTCTTCATGTCCAGTTGTTTATTGGAGAGCTGTTTGTTGTATTAAAGTTTTTAGGGGGTGTCAGCACATGCAAACTATTATAAAGAAATATTATCAAAATCTTCTCACAGCATGTCAGCAACATCAGGAGACATTTAGGCCTTGTTTTTACTTAGTATTAACATGCATATTAGGGATTCATTCAGCTGACATGCTTACCTTTTTAATTTTTTATTAATAAGCAAACAAATGCTGCATCTGACAACTTGCGTTTGGAATTGTTTAAGACCCTAAAATGCGCAGTGTGCAATTCTAGCCACTAGAGGGCTTGTATTTACAACAAACAAAGGTGTTTTGTGGGAGTTGTGGTCTTCATCATCATACAAGTCCCCTGCAGAAATCAGTTGATGGATGAGCTAAAGTTTTCAACATTATCATGGTGATATGAAGCAGAGTATGGCTGAATGCCGTGAAGAAAAGCTAAAGCAATTATTCAGCACATGATCATGTGGGGAAGAAAATCTGTGCTTTTTTTAATCAGACTAAATATGTTTTAGGCTTCTGCATTAATGGTGTTCTGTGCAGTGCAATAAAACACCATATTAAAGTCTTGCTGTTTTTTCATGTTTTCTAGAAAACCAAACCAGAA